TATTGATTAAATATTAGAATTACAAAAAAGAATACCTGTGGTGCGCGCTACTCATAAGTAGTATTTGACGCGAGTGTAAACGTAATGTCTGGCAGCAGAAGATGGGGGAAAATCAAGAAAGGAAGAGTGGGAACACAATGGAATTTGTATGAAACGTATGAATAGTGAAATGTCAGACAATGGATTGATGATGGATTGAAGATTTGCAAATTAACCGTTTACGATGTGGTTTTCCTATTTTACTGAGTAACTCTGTAATTTTCGATAAATAAAATTCGGTTGCCCTCACCTGTGTTCTCCTTCACTACATACTCATTGTTTTAAGTTAACACGGTTAATTATTCTAGAATTTATTGACATGGATAGAAAATGAATGATTCATGAAAATAATTACTGAATGAATTGAATTGTTGAACTGATTTTCTTGTTTCTCAGACTTAAAAGAATTATAGTAATCGATATTTGAGTAGTCGTTAAATCAGTATCCTTCATTAATGATTGAATTTAATGGATTGAATGGTTAAACAACCACTAATCTAAAATTAGCTTGTTATTAACTTGTTCATTACAGTTTATTTGGTGTACTATTGTTGTGGACATTAGATCCCCAGAACTCACTTCGAAAAGATCCTAATTTTGTGATTGTATTCTGAAATTTTGAATTTCCATGTTTTCGCGCCAGTTGAACATAAGCCTATATTTCCCACTCGGAAAATCCTTGACTGTCATTGGTTGATGGATTGTTTTAGTAAGCTATTTGTGGCTCTCCCAAGGACGTTGCTATCATTGTATAAATAAGCTCGATTTGGGTGCTTAAAAATCTCGTATTTTTTGGGTGCTTGTACAATACATTCTCCACGCCTTATCAAGACCTTTTGATCTAGTTAGCAGGGCCTGGGACAATGGATTAGAATAGCCAATCGTGTCAATGAATCGTTGACCTTCGTCCCGTTTACCAAATAAGGTGAACGCGTAGTGGCATTCAAGCATAATAATTGACGAGCATATCAATCATGTAGTTAAGGAGAGAATCGAAAAAATGTCCCTGGTTATCCTTCGTCAGTAATAAATTTTGCTTGATTAACTTATAGGCAAAAACGTGATATTTTTCAACGAATATAAAAATTCATCACTTTTAAAGGTCACATGTGACCCAATTACTTTGTCAATATTATTCATGATCATGACAATAGATAACACACCAGTATGAATACAGTGGGAAACACTAATTGCTTCAAGATTGCATTTATATCTTGCTGATGATTGTCAACTTGTGATATATCATTATCGTTCAAAGTTTTCTATGTTATCCTTAGTTAATCTAACAAATTGGATAGTATACTAACAAAAATAGTATTTTAAATAACTAGAATATATCCATGAGAAAGAATATCGTAACAGCAAGAAAGGTTAGTTCATTGACGAGTTTTCGTTTCAGTGAATACATTCTCATTGGTGTACCATTGTAAACCTATGCTTTTTCGTAATAATAATCAGTAAAATGTTTAATAATAACAACAATAAACCAAGAATAGCAGTAGTACAATGATAAAGTGAGCCAAACAGAAGTAGTCGAATAAGGAGGCCATTTGAAGGCCAACAGAAGTGTCCTTAAGGACAAATGCACACCACTGGTCCAGAACTGAGTGTATTTCCTAAAAGCATATATATATTGATCTAGGGATTTTGCGCGACCTCACCCATTTGTCTTTGGTAGTTACTGCCAATGGTAAGGCGTTCGCCTACAATACCAAAGGTCCCGGGTTCGAATCCTGCGAGGAGCAGGAGTCGTGGATGCGCACTGCTGAGGAGTCCCATACTAGGACGAAACGGCCGTCCAGTGCTTCCAGGTTTCTAATGGTGGTCTAACAATGATGATTGATTAATGATTTCAAATGTGTAAAAACGCAAACCTCCAAAACTGTGCCCCAATATTCATTAACAGTTGTTTACGCAAAATACTTCGGATTCGTTGGCCAGATATAATCAGAAACAAACTACTCTGGGAAAGAACAAACCAGATTCCAGTGCAGGAAGGAATAAGGAAGAGGCGCTGGATGTAGATAGGGCACACCTAGAAGAAAACACCACACTGCGCCACAAGACACACCCTCACTCGGAATCTTCAAGGCCAAAGGAAAAGATGAAAACCAAGGAACACAACGCCAAGAAATGGAGACGGACATGAAGAGAATGAACAACAGTTGGACAGGACTGGAAAGGGTGGCCCAGGATAGAGAAGGTTACAGAATACTGGTTGGCGGCCTATGCTCCATTGGGGGTAACAAACGAAAGTAAAAATGTACGTAAGTAAAACAAGCTGTTGGTTACCTATGGAAAAGTCCTAATAGCTAGACTTCTATCAAAAGTTTATACTTTGAATACGTTTAAACAAACAATAGAAGCTTCACAATTAAACCATTGAGAGATTATTATTATTATTAATATTGTTTGTTTAGTGTAATAGAAAAATGAATATTAATTATTGTTCACTTAATAGTTGAGTTAAACAAATCGATGTTAAAAATAATTTCACTTAATTAGTCAGCATTCAATATGAAATCAGATTAAATCATTATTTTGCATTGATAATATTTGTGAAAAACACTTGAGAAAGTTTTAAAATTATCATTGTAATTCACTCAGTAGTAAAATTAGATTTTATTTGTGTTTACGCATGATTCACACACGTGTAACATCAACTTTACAAAATCACATGATCAACTGTTGCCACTCAAGAAAAAATGAATTCAAAATTTAAATTCTACTTGAAATTAATTTACAGTTAACTTAAAAAATAAAACTGTACATACTTTTCTGATTTTTGTTCGGCATTTCAATGATCTTTTATTTTGACTTGAAAGATGGAACGTTTAACACTGTAGAACGGTTGAGTAAAGATTTTTGAATTCTTAATAAGAAGCTATTACAAGGACAGTTTTTTAAAGGAACAGTTACTGTGACATTTGCAGATATATGTACATTTATTTGTGTAAGTTCTACAATTCTCTCCTTATTGTTATATTTTTCGAATTCGAATGAAAAGTACTAATCCTGTGGTAAAGGCTCAATGTTCAATATTCGTCATAGGTATCAGGAGACTAAAATGTGCTATACATATGCGTTGGTCAGCTTTAGCAAACAAAGAACCTGTCATACTTGTTGATTGTTTGAAGATTTCACACCATACTAACACAACTAGATGAAGTGGTTACAATAAATAAAAAAAATAGATTGAGCTAATAATATCAATAATGATCTCAATGTTAATAAAAAATAACATTAGGTATAAACAATAAGATCCAAGAATAATGATGTAGTGTAATGAAATAGTTTAAGATATGTTAACAATTCTTGATCTATGCGTTAACTAAGTGTATAATGCATATGAATCTTTGTGATTGATTCTAAACCATATCAACTGTCCGAAATCTTCAATCTTTAGTCATGATAAGTGGACAGTTCCTAACTAGGTAGTCTACACCTATCAATGGTTTAGTCCAGCAGTCAAAATGGCCATATGAAATTGTGCCATGCTTTCATTTTAGCCTTATCAATATATGACCAGAATGAGTGAGTGATGAGCCTACAACTATAATATGTAACTAAAATGAATACTTGCTACATTATTAGTGAATTGAACCAAATTCAAGCTATTCCACAGGAATAGATAGAGCGTAGTTAACAATAGAATCTAAAATATGCATTTTGTCCTATTTGGAACTCATATTTTTTATCAGTCTTGAAAATTTGTCATGATTAGATTTATTTCTACAGTCATTTAGCTTCGATTATCTATGAATAATGTAGACTATCATAAGACTCATTCATGATCATTGTGTTGTAGATTGTATAGAGCTCTTTGTTACTTATTAATATATTCGTTTAGATTGTTTATTGAGGTTATTACTTTGATTGCCAATATTGAGGATATAGAATAAAGTTTTTATGATTGTTCTATGAAACTGTTGAGATTTAAAATAAGCAAATGATTACGCATGTTACAAGCTGGTTAGTAATAATTATGGATCAATACATTGTGCACATTATTAATAAAACGTCCATGTAAATATTTCTGCATATAAATGCAATATTCATTGGAATCATGAATCGATCAATGTTAAACCACAATTAGAAATCATAGAGCATTGGACGGCCGTTTCGTCCTGGTATGGGACTCATCAGCAGTGTGCATACACGACTCCTGCACCTCGCAGGATTTGAACCCAGGACCTTTCTGTCTTGTGGGAGAACGCTTAACCTCTGAATCACTGAGCGCACTGTTGATGAGTCCCATACCAGGACAAAACGGCCTTTCAGTGCTTACAGGATTTTAATGGTGGTTTAAAATTGATCGATTCATTATTTCAATGAGTAACTTGACGACATCCACAACCTCATAATGCATGTACAATACTGTCCACTTAAATATGCCGTTTTGATTTTCAGAATGGGTACTTTTTCATAAAATATAAGCAAGTTTGGAGTAAATTACAGTGATGGATAACATTGTTGCGTAAATAATTATTATATTTTTTGAACCAGCCATGACACATGTGTAAATTATTCAATGAGACCTAAAATGAATGGGTTTGACCAAAATGAACGCATAAGCTTCAGAAAGCGGAATTTCGATGTAAACAAACAAAACCAACAATTCTAATGATACAACTCCATTGACTGTTGTGCATTAATGTTTTTCTAAATCGGTATATCATCTTGGATGCCTCTGTGTTTGGAAGATTTTACTAGTAAGAAGCTCTATTATTGAAAGTTATTAATTTATCAATTTAATCGTATTTATTTTTATAGTACCACATTTTGTAACCTTAAGAGGGTTCTTATTCTGAATGGATTTAGAATAGATAATGATTACTCATATCTGTGTTTGTGACAATCTGCACTTGACTGCTCATTTGAAAAATATCAGCATCATAGTAGAGTAAGAGTTTAAATTAATTAGAGAAGCTGTTTCATTAATTTACAGCTGTATGTCCCTCATGCGACAAAACGATGACGAATGTTTACCGAAAGAAATTGTTTTGCCGGAAAAATACTGCTGTAATTTATCAAGGCTTATTATCTGTTCTTCCATTTTAATATCATTGGAATGCTGATAAACAAAGCCAGTCAGAAGTGACCTAAAGAGAAGGTGATTGGATCATCATCAGAAAATGTCCTCAAGGACAAATGCTTATCACTGGTTAAGAAATGGCTTTCTTTTCTAAGGAGATGCGTATATATCACTAATTGATCATATTATTCGGTTTTCAAATACACTTTTTCCTTTGCTCTCTCTTGTCTTCTCGTTTAGGCAGCCAGTCTATTTCTTTAGGGGGTTAGCTGAAGGTAATTGAGCTGAAACTGTGGATCTAATTTTCATGCTATCCCATACACATCAGGAAGATGTAGCTGTAATCTTGAGGAAACCGTTGCTGCTTGACTAACTCGATCCCGTGTCAGATAGTATGGTAATTCAAACATTTTAATTACTTAATTTTTTTAAATCTTAAATGGCTGATAAAAGTTTTGTCTGATAATTTTTAGCATTCTAAGTTTTGTATAAACGTTATTCTGTTACACTGTTCAGTATGATGAAAGAGAAAAATCATTGGTTCAATCATGAAATGTGGCTTTCTTCATTCTTCATCCCTATATTATACTTTAACTATTTGACTAGATTTTTTCCCATTAATTTCTTCATACATTTTCCTGTTTGTTAAAGACAAGTTGATTTTCAGTGATTTATTACGTCATTTGTTTGCACATCATTTCCAAGGTCATTGTTAGCTTAATGGATCCTAGTTTATGGATAATTCAATTACAACGTCAAATCACGACATAACCTTTCCAACTGTACTGAATGGATAGAGAGAGAGAGAGAGTGCAAGTTATCAGCCATAAAAGAATATTTTAGAAATGATCTATCATATTCATTATTTGGTAAGTTAGTCAACAATAAGATCATGTTTTCAGATCAATCAATAAGCATTTATTTATTTGTGTTCAGTGATTGTTTGTTTTTTGACAGAATGAAACTAAAATATGAAGTCCAATATGTTAACATCTTTGCAACAGCTGTTAAATTATTACTATTTATTTGTTTGTTTTTTTATTGTATTTAAAAGGAGTATTTTACAAGAAGATTAATGTTGCAATGAAAATGAATTTGTGGAAATTTAATTTAAAACAAACAAATGTATAAGTCTGAAATTGGTATTAGGAGATAAATTATCTGTTTATCTAACTTAGTAATCATTTTAATATCTTTATGGTATAAAAGTGTAACGATTAAAATTTTAGTTATATATAGTACAAATATTTTATTGATAAAAACTGAATAAACGGTGAAATCACTAGTTGATGAAGTTTAATTTATTATGTTACAGTAGACATTTATAATTAATGAAACAGTTACTTTTCAATCACTTACAATCACAATATATTTTATGTAAGGCGATAGTTGGAGACATTTGACAGGAAACCCTAAACTTAGGTTTTGTGCTATTTACCACTCGTCAACAAGGTGTACCTGTAATCTTGAGGGAACCTAAGTTCAGGGTTTTCTGTCGATTACCTTCAACTACCACCTTAAATCTTTTCATTGGAAACACAATGTCGAATCATCTAGATTGACGGCCAAATTGTAATTTGGCAGATAGAGTTCGATTACTAATAAAGGACTTAACAAACATAATATTGGTCATTACCTAATGATTGATCAAGTGGATAAATAGATTTTACATATAAATAAAAGATAATTTATAACTGAATAATCACTGAGTAATAACCAATGTTACGTTTGTTCATTTCTTCAGTGCTGATCGAATTCGATCGAACAATTTACGATGTTACCCCTAGTCTGAGTGATTAAAAATTTGAGAATCGGTAAAATCTCAGACAATCAAAATGGGTGACATAAGTTCGAATCCGATAGACAGTAACAGATCTACATAATTTAAGATATACCTGAAGTAAATACATAGATTTCTACTGTTTTTATTCGACAACACATTATGAACTCATGTCAGTTAGTGGATTATTCAAGAAAGATGTTAGACAGATGTTTCACATTGAACAGTTCCATTTCAGCCGTACATAATCATGAACTTATGATTTATATCTCTTGCTGATAAATTGACTTGAAATGAATCGGTTGAATGCCTATGGTGAATGTGTTTGTTGAATAACTTACAATTATAGTCTTTAAAAATGATACAGTTCTGTTTTAAAAATATCATGACAAATATATAATCATTGTATGCATTAATTGGTAAGATAATAGTTTTCATTTGACTAGAAAACAGTACTATATTTATCGATACAATATTCAACTTTATTCCTTTGTACTATTTAAACTTGCATTAATTTAATTCGATTATTGATTTATTTTCGGGCAGAGTTTTGGAGGTGTTGTGTTTTTACACATTTGAAATCATCAATCATTCATTGTTGGACTAACATTAGAAGCCTGGAAGCACTGGACGGCCGTTTCTTCCTGGTATGGGACTCATCAGCAGTGCTCATTCACGACTACTGCACCTTGTAGGATTCGAACCCAGGACCTTCGGTCCTGCGTGCGTGGTCTTCAGAAAGTCACATTTCTACTCATTTCTACAAATAAATCATCATTTATATTACGATATATTTATTCCTTTTGTGAGTAAAACACGACTACATATTAGAAGATATATAACAATAATTACTTATTTACTTACTTTCTCCTGTTACCCCCAATAAAGGCCAACGACCAGATTTCTGTAACCAACTCTGTTCTAGGCTTCCCTTTCCAGTTCTTTACAAACTTCGTTCATTTTTATCATGTCTTTCTCTATTTCCAGGAGTAATGTGTTCTTTGGCCTTCCACTTTTCGTTTTATCTTGAGAGTTCCAAGAGAGGGCTTGTCTTGTAACACAGTATGGTGCTTTTCTCAGTGTCTGTTCTATCCACCTTCCTGATTTCCTCTTCCAATGGAATCTGGTTTGTCCTCTCCCATTGTTGGTTGTTGCTGATGGTGTTTGGCCAACTAATCGGAAGGATTTTGTGTAGACAGCTGTTAATGAATACTTGTATCTTCTGGAAGATGGCTTTTGTAGTTCTCCAAATTTATTGTCAGTATAACAAATACATAAATATGTATGTATATGTTTAATGAAATCCTGTTGAATTACTTATTTATGAAATGTATTTTTTTACTGATTAAAGAAGATACAAAAGCTTTAATATGTTAGATAGTAATTAAATTTATTTAATTAAATATTTGATGATTCGTAAGTGAATTAATGTTTTGGTCATTGACACTAATTTCTACACATTATTCTCATCAATTTTGTACTAAATTTTAAAACTAAAAAAAATTTAACGCGAATCGTTTTATCACTAAAAAGCGTCATAAGCTTAAATATTTTTGAGTCTCTGTGATCAGTTTCTGTAAACTGAGAATTAGTAACTAGTGACATTATTACATATTAGGAGTGAGAAAGATATCAGTGATGATACTGAATGAAGGTTAAGTCAAATGGTAGATTGAGTGACGTTGAAATTATATCACTGCAGACCGACTTAGTGGTTTTATTGATGAGGCGTTCACCATGAGAACTGAAAACAAGAAGCACCATCACAGGGAACGGATCTTTATTGATACTCTGAATAATATTCAAGAAAGGAAGGACTGGAAGTTGATAATGAATATCAGCCGAACAAGAACAGAGAAAGTCAAGGTACAAGCTGAATACATAGAGCAAAACAAGCAAATGAAGAGCGGCATCAGAGCTGACAAACGTAAATATGCTGAAGGTCTAGCGATGACGGCGTAAAAGGCTGCAAAAGAAGGAAACACGAGACAACTGTGTGATACAACGAAGAAGCTCACTGGAAGATATCGTAAACCAGAAAAAGCGGTCTTGAACAGGGGAAGCAAAGCAATTACTGACACTGAAGAACAGAGAAACTGATCTGTAGAATAGACCAGCCCCATCGAACCCACCCAACATCGAAGCACCACGCACGGACCTCCCTAGTGATTTTGACCCACCAACAATCATAGATATTGGCATGGCCATCAAACAAATGAAGGGTGCCAAAGAAGAAGGACCAGACAAAATTCAAGCTAAGGATTTGAAAGTAGATGGCAATAACTACGAAGCTGTTCTACACACTATTCAGCAAGATTTGGTTTAAAGAACAAGTACGAACAGACTGGAAGGAAATAAATAGAGAAATGATAATAATCACAGGTTTTAAAAAAAGTAAATAAAATTTATTATGAAAATTGATAGTTTTAAAAATACAAGTGTATACTATGTATGTCTAATATCTTGGAGTGTTTCAATAGTTTATGGTAGCTACTTAAAGATGTTAGGGACGTTAGATCTCCAGATCTCGCTTAATAAATTACTTAATCCTGAGTTTCATGTTTGCGAGAATGGGCTGATCAGTTGACCTTGAGATTTCGATTCCCACAAGGAAAATTCTTGCCTGTGATTGGCTGCTGTGTATATTAGTGTGATGTTTGTATGACTGTCCCAATGACGTTTCTATGATGCCTGAATAAACGTGATTTGTGTGCTTGAATGGGTTGTGCTTGCTGGGTGTTTGTAGCATATACATTCTACGCTGTATCAAAACTTCTCGTCAGCCGATATGAGTCAACGAATCAAGGTAGCCTACCTGGACGCTGGTTCACTGTCTAGTTCTAGTTTATCGACTACGATGAAATCATACTAGTTTCAAGCATGCTTAGTGACGAACCTAACAAAAGAAAATGTATGCGTGCAAAAAGGGTGCACTGTTGGGAATTGTACTAATGTGTTTTTAGTATAAGCTGAAGTCATTTAAGTACATTATGTAATTTATTGGAGTAAATCGCATCAATTGATTTAATGTTTAACTTCAATGAACCTAATTCAAATATTCGTTTCCAGTTCTTTATGAACAACTTTGGTAGATCACTGAACAAAAAACCAGTATGACTAACTGCTCATATTAGTAAAGATTTTATTATTAGTTTGAGAATATCATGATTGACGAACATGTACACACACTCAATAAAACGAATTATAACAATTTTCAGTTTTCTAAATAGTCTTTGCCATATTTGATAAATTACAACAACGTAATAGTGCATCAATAAAAACCAATTCTACCAAGATCGATCTACTTCTGATTAGTTGCTGCATCATATGCATGTGACCATGAAATGAAAGACAGCCAATTGAAATCAGCACAATGAATTGACCAGTTATCTTAACGAAAAGAAAAGCAACTGTAAAATAGTAAAAATACGATTCCTAATTCAAAACGTCATATTAACTGATGATCATCACATTCACCGCCATATCGTAATTTAATACCAGATTCACCTAGACTACGTACATCATTTTCAACTGAAACACGACATCGAAATTCATCATTTACAAATTTACCAAGTGATTTCAATAAATCATTTCGTATGAAAAAACGTAGTTCAACCACTTACCAGAATACACATCAATCATCAAATCATTATAGTAGAAGTAGTTTTACTACAAAACCTGAACCAATTAATATACCTGTACGTGTTGAAACCAATCAATGCCAGAATCATTCAATTCCTGTCAACGATGTACAAAATATCAACATCAACAGTAACAATAATGATAATTTCGTGATAAAACCTACCAAATTTTATAGAATAAGTGTGAAACTTGGCACAGATGTAAAACCGGAAGAATTAAATATTCATTTAAAAAGTGGTTTACTTACCATTACAGTGAAACAAACACGTGAAAATTTTGAAAATAATGAACAAACAAATATTGCACGTGAATTCTTACATGAAAATACCATACCAATTAATGTTGATCAAAGTAAATTAATTGCAAAATTAGATAAAGGCATATTAACATGGGAAGCACCATATATGACAACAACAACCGGCGATCCAATTGAAATTCCAGGATAAATGAACTTCAACTACAATAACTGCAATAATAATAATTATAATAATACTTGAATCATGTAAAAATCCACACATTCAATAATCAATCATCAATAATAATAAATAGATGATCAATAGATTTATACAAATTTATTCTTTATATTGTATGTCATATTTATTTGTTTGTTTTGTTTTTCTCGTGAAAGATTCATCTTTATATATTTATTCTATGAGAGGATAACTATCACACTATCAAGATTAACATTTAGAAAAAAACAAAATCGATTATATTGTACATTCACACTCAAGTGAATTAATTATTTGTTCTTCCTTGTTTTCGTCAATTGAAACAGAAATTCAGGATTCTTGTTTGGCTTTCATCACGAGACATGATAATTCTTCTTCCAGCTGACAGTACAGAGTTAAAATGGTTTTGAATTACTTGTTCTGGTTGTCTTCTTTTAGGCTTTAGGCCTGTTAGTTTTTTTCGTGTGATGGGGTTGCCAACACCATGCCAAAGCCTCCTCCTTCATCCGAGCTTGGGACCAGCAGTGGCCCCGAAAGGTTTATAGAAATATATATATATATATATATATATATATATATATATATATAACACAAGAATCACTCAATTCAATACTTAATAATGTTGTTCTATTTCGGTGACTTTTTAAAGTTACTCGTAAATCGATAAATTTGAAAATTAAAAACTATCTGCGTGTATGTTTTCTTATTGAAACTTAATACATACAGTTTAATTAGATATATTTAAGTAAATTTATGATAACTAATTAACTAGTCTAGTTTCGAAATAGTTCATTTGAAATAATTTGTAAATCTACAGTAACAATTTTTTTTTAAAAAAAACATACAAACTGTATTTCTGTCATGTTAAACATGTAGGTAATTTACTTACATGCTGTAAATTCTGTTAAGATGTTACTGAATGTTTTTAATAAAATAATCTTATCAATTTTCTGTAGAAATGCATTTCTCTGATGATAATTGAATTTAATAACTCCATAAACCTGTGAAGCACAAGTCGTTAACAACTTTAAAGTTGATATATGCGTAGTAATTGTGGTGTTCTTTCGTTCTCTGTGCTGGATGTTTTGATTGTGGAGCTTTCATCGCTCTTCTGAACAACATCCTCTGCACAAACTTAAGATAGGAGTGAATTTTTCGAAAGCTCCACAACCAAAACATCCAGTTCAGAGAACGAAACACCTACACAATCATCTACCTCAGCTAAACATTTTCTCCACCATTTCAATATGTGTAGTAATCAATTGATGATTGGTTTATCACTGAGTAATTTACAAAGTCATGCTTCATGAGTCTTGTCCAGAGTAGATTAGATTATATGAATTGATTTCCCAATGTGTCCACTGGTCTAAATGACTCGACACATAACACATGCACTTTGTCACAATAGTAGTTAGTTGTAAGTAGACGACAGGATATTGTATATGATCTATGTTTCGTCCTATTTGGCATCTGTCAGAGAGATGTATCTGTAATCTTGATGGATTTGATGATTATTTTACTGACAACGTTGAATTTTCTGGAAGACTATGGGCCATTTCATGGAATAATTTTTACAGGCTAGTTTAAATCGAAATTCAAAAATGTGTTTGATCAATAAATTGGAATATTGATTGTTAAATTTTGATGTAATTAGACGGTTGGAGGTGGACAAGTTAAGTATGAATATCTCATTTTAAAATTGTTCACCGATCGACAAGAATAGAGGTTAAAATACGATGACTGTTATTGTGGTAGATCATTTGTATATCGCTAGATATTTGCCTAGATGTTCTATGGTTATCCGATGAAATAAAAACTTATTATTATAAAGTTAAGGCGTAAACAATCCACATGAAATTATCGACTGTATGTCTTACTTGTGGTGATAAATAATCTCATTATTTCTGGTCACTTTTCAATATTATTAACATAAAACAACTTACTTTGAAGTTACTCAAAAATTTATGAATTCGCTGAAGTCAGTTATAATGTAGTGGCTCACTACTCAGCTTAAATGTGCACGACTGATTGAGTATATGATGAAATTAATCCTACTTTCCACTTCCGTATATTATACTTAGGCTAACCCAGTTTGTGCGACTGTAGTAGGAAAACTGCCAAGCATGGTTTCTTGGATTAATTAATTTCATGCAATCATTTATGCAGAAAAACGTGAGGAGGAAAGCGTACAAGCAAAACCATGTGAATTGGAGAAGGATAGTGAGACAAGTCCAAGAGATAAAGCATGACTAAGAATTTATAGTCCGATAAAAACAAGACACATGTAACAAGCGAGATAAGCTTGTACACACATGAATACAAGCGACAAATGCGTGACAAGGTCAAAAGACAAGTGGAACAAGTCATGTGAGCTAGAAGACATTGAATGACTGACTCACTACAATGATTTCATAATCCTTTAGTGTTCAGCTTTTTGAAACTTTTCCTAGAACTCTTATTAGACGTTAATTATCATTAGTTCACTGAATTTTGAAGCAATAGACAACTGGACTCTAACTCATTGACTAGATGATGATTTTATGAATTCATTGCAAATAACTGAATCTTCAAGGAACAGAGATGAACAATTTTAGATTAGAACACAGCAGATGTTCAATATTAAATGTTTTGCAATTCTCAATGGTGCTTCCCAGATACCCCTCTCTTTGATAGACATCCACTGCAAACTACTCTAATCTTTTAATAAGACAATTTACAAAAGAATAATATGCGTAGAATCTTTTACATTAAAATGATTTATAACTAACGAATTTAATTAATGTTATTATTCCATGTCACATGACAGTGTTGGGAAACAATCAATTTTCTCTTATCTTTAGTATAGCGTTTATAGCATTGATGTTCAATAATTACAATCTACACATTTTTGTCCCCTAACTCATTTGTTATTAGGTCAGTCAAAAACGTAACTCTAAAGATAGAATATCCAATCTAGTAACATAGTTTATTGAACAATCTTAGCTTATTCATTTTCTGTCGGACTATGTCATAGGGAATGAATTCACGTGAGGTTTTTCCATATTCTGCTAACTAACCTCTGTCAGTTATCGAAAAATATATCTGGTAGTTGTTTTGTATTGAAGAATTAAAATAACGAAATCATATCACGGCAAATTAATCACAATAGATGCAAAACAGAACAACAATGTGAGTGATTTCATAAATCAGATAATCATTTCTTGAATAGGATTACTTTCTGAATATTTGTTTAGTTAACGACAGTGATCGCACATATGTATTAGATTAATCTTTAAGTAATCATTAAAATCAGTTCTAAAAATGGGAAAATATTTTTTTACTGTGATTCTATCAGAAAACAAAAACAAATAGTTCACTTCAACATAAATGTTAACTATTTTATTTTGTTTTAATCTATTTCAATGTTATATTGAATAATTTACAGGCAAGATAAATCATTTATACAATAAATATACAACAATATACAAGATATATTTATCTACACAAGACAAGTGTGAAGTGTAATCATTAAGTTTGTAAATGTTCAAATTGATATCTTCAATCAAGCACAAAATAAAGGTCAGATTGAAGGTGTTAAGTGGGACATGTAATTGGAGGGGATGGAACATTTAGTTCTAATATCAAGAAGAATTATGATATGTGATTCTGGTTCACCGCTGTGAACATAAAAGGAGTTTGGTGAACCAATAAGCAGTAAGATTTTGGTTATTATTCACAGTGATAGTTTGAATTTGGAACAGGAGGTCTTAATTCCTCCTGTAAAAATGGTCCAGTATTAGTATTTCTACCATAAAATGAATGTTCCACAGTAAAAATAGTAGATAATAGGATAATAATAAGTCTGTTACTAGGAAGGGGAATACACAATGCAACTTTTGACACTAGGACTAGTACAACTCCCTCCCAGTTTGGAAATCAAAAACCTGGGAAAACAAATATAAGAGATCTTCACTCCACTCAGTGTCGAAATATGCAGAAAAAACACCTGTATTTATAGTCTTTTGTAATAAGTGGAAACATCCTTAAAATCATTCTATCCACAGTTAACAATGTTATGTCATCATCCAAACACTTTATGACACGCTGACATTCTGGAAATTCTATCAAGCCGTGGTTAGGTTGAAACTCTTCGTCTTGTGCGAAATCACAACAGATTAAAAAAAACTAGGAATTGACAATATGATTTAGTTTACAAAGATGATTTCTGTGTGATAAATATTCTACAATTTATTAGTCGTATGTTTTGAGACATGCTGATCAATATTGCTAGCTGAATTCTCCAATCAGAATCCCGATTATATTTTTTTCATCCTGAATTGGGTCTCTAGCTTTTACCTATGATAGGTTTTAATTGACACCATTCAATTTGAACCAATGTGAGCTATGCTCCTAATCGTCAGTTTATCCGTAAGTTTATTGTCCCGAACCCGAAGTCTGTGAATAGAAGTTAGTATCCAGCTTCATCACACAGCCCAACTGTCAAGCACAAACAATACCATCTCAAACTCCCATTTACTTAGATATGCGAATTGTCAGACTTTTCAGCACGACAAATAATAAACCATACTTCAAACGCACTTACGCCATTAGTGGCAGAGAGAGAAGAACACAGCATATAATTAATTAGCAATAAATAAGAAATAGGAAAACGTATGACGACGGTTGATAGGTCTTCTAGAAGCCTACAATGAAGTGAACATAGAAGTGCAACAACACTAACTAAATAGTAAAAACAAATAATAATTCGAAATATAGTCCAAACAGAGTTAACTCTTCCAATTAACGTTCCATTATGACGAAAATGACATTTTTTATCATGAAACACGTTAAATACGGAGAATCAATGAAAACTAGTGAGTAACAAACAGAACTAAGCCAATCTGGTTTACGATATTTTCCAGCGAGCTTCTTTGTAGTTTCGTACAATTGTCTCAAGTTTCCGTCTCTTGCAGCCTTTTCCACCGTCATTGCTAGATCTTCCACATATTTTCGTTTGTCAGCTCTGATGCTCTTCTTCACTTCCCTGTTTGTTTCTGTGCATTCAACTTGTGCCTTAACTTTCTCTGCACTTGTTCGGCTGACATTGATTGCTTCCTTCTTGTTCCTCCTTTATTCAATTTTTTCAAGAGTACCGACAGACATCCATTCCTTGTGATGTTACTTGTTGCGACCCAGA